CACACATTTCCGGCCAACAACAACGCACAACTAAACCACATCATACCAAGAACAGATAGATATATGAATACGTGTGTATTAAGCCCAACCTCCTGTAATTGCAATTGCAATTCCTCCTGCTGCTGCCCTATCTATCCGTCTACCTATCCCCTGCCCAATAGAATGATATATCATGATCCTGATAACAGGGATGGGTGTGAGTAGAAGCAAAGAAATGTGTTGGCCGGAAACGTATGACATGGAAAAATCAGCCGGAGGATCAAAAGTGGCAAATATTCTATAGTTGTGCACCAAATCTGGGAAAAACAAAAGACGGGGACTAAAATTGTCTAAACCGCTAAAATCGGGGGACCAAAAGTGGAAAAAAACTCCATAAGGAACTAACGCTTAAACAAAAGACGGGGACTAAAATTGTCTAAACCGCTAAAATCGGGGGACCAAAAGTGGAAAAAAACTCCATAAGGAACTAACGCTTTGTTTGCAAACACTAAAAAGAAGCACTTCCCAGCTTTTGGCTTAAAAAACACTTATTTTACCAAACACTGTTAACTTTTACTTTTCTCGGCTTTCGTGTAGAATATACTTTTTACTTTTTCTATTACACAAAAAACACTTATTTTATCAAACACTATCAACTTTTACTACTAATCACATTTAAAAAAATGCTTCTTTTATAACACAAACACTTGCAAACGAAGCAATTGAGGAATGTAATAAAATTTCATCTTGTCATAAACATAAGAAAACTTATCAAGTTGTTATTTCAGATCACTTTAAGAGAGCGGTTGGCTTACATTTGAAAGAATTATTTTGTACTTTATTTAAAAACTGCAAGGGGTTAGTAGATGAATTATGAGAGCATCTTCAATGCTATAATGTGCACGGTGCACATGTGGCATGCATCGTAGACATATAAATATTAGCAAATAAATAATCTTTCTCCTTATTTGAATGATTTTATACAATTTTGGTAAGTTTTTCCCTGCAATATCAACAACAATGTCAACATATAGACGGTCTCCTTGACATTGTGGAGAAAAACTTACCAAAACTATATAAAATCATTCAAATAAGGAGAGAAAGAATTTATTTAATAATATTTATGTGGTTATTTCTCATGCCATGTGTGCACCGTGCACATTTTAGCATTGGAGATGCTCTGAGCACTATTACACTCGAGTTTATGTGTGCCGGTGTGCATATGCTGTGCACATAGTTTAACCACCACATGTTACACAGGACCGGCTAATTAATTTGGAGGTCCTGATTTTAAGTGAGGAATTGAGACCCCATAAAACAAGAAAGAATACAAAATTTAACAATGAAATAAAAATAAATTAGATATTCAATGAAATATGTGTTTTATAATGTTTAAAGGATACAAATTAAACAATCTAAAAGTTTTATACCTTTTGGAATTTTAAATATACATGACATTTATAAAAATCAACCTATAACTAATATTCCACCTTCCCACTAACAATATAATGTGACAAGAGAGAGTAACACGCAAATCAATAAAAAATGATTTATGTAGTTATATAGAATTGACAAATTAAGAATGATTTAGAGTCAAACAAACTTTACCATATTTGATTTGAGACAATCTTAGTGGGATAAGCCGGAAATGTAAAATGGAACAAACTTAGCGAGACAAAGAAATTACTACATACTAAATTTATAGAGAATCCCTACAAGAGTGAATCCCGATGCCAAACACCTATTTTACTTAAAGACGTCCCTGATACTTCTGTCAAATGGAGCATATGTGCTACAAATCTTACCGTCCTAATTATGAAATATTTTATTAATGACGGTCAAATAGAAGGCAAATAGAGGCAATTGCCCCCCTTCCCCCAATTTCATAAATAGGTATAATTATAACAACAATTATACATGCACTAATATTTATAGTTTTTACTCTACTTCTTCTTCCACCAGAAGAATCTGTTGCTTGCCACTCCACCTCGTGCAACGCACGGGTGATATTTATGAATAACTAACATGTACGGAGTAGTATTTATAGTTATTCATAAATATCACCCGTGCGTTGATGTGGTGGATATCTTACACGCATTCAACAAATTAGGATTATGTGTCTTGCTTGAGATTGATTTATGGGTGCTACGAGGACAAGGTGCATTCTCTTTAAGGAGCCCATCTCTCAAAAACTCCAAATGTGCTTGGTAGAGAGTGGCTATATGGGGCCCTGCAAGGCGGGTGGTACATTTGGTTCATATGAATGATGGTGGTACATCGGGTTTCGATCCTCGCAGGTTCCACCCCTAGATGGAGGATGGTGGCTAGTTGTAGTGCACGAAAAATGGAAACTAATAATCCAACCTTTTAGCGGTCTTCTTTCAATAATCCCACCTTTTGATTATTCATGAATAATCCAACATTTGCACCTCATCTTCATTCATTGGTCCCTGGTCGGTTCATGACCTACTATTCCAAGTTATTTTCTTATTTTTGCAAAATATTATCTTTGTGAAAGATGAGATTTATGGTATAATGATTTGCAAAGATAAGAAAATAGCTTGGAATAGCAGGTCATCAACCGGTCAGAGACCAGTGAATGAAGATGATGTGCAAATGTTGGATTATTCATGAATAACTAAAAGGTTGGATTATTGTAAGAAGACAGCTAAAAGGTTGGATTATTAGTTTCCATTTTCCCTATTTTTACTTGGATTGTTTTCAATTTCAAACTATATCGCCAAGTACCCTGTGGTCTGATGACATCACTGTGACACTCCCAAGGAGGAGGTCACAGGTTCGAATCACATCCCAGTTCAAAGATGTTGGCATTAACATTGAGCAGATACTATATATAGGTTAGAAAGAATTGACAAAAAAAATCAAACTATATCAGATCAGACTTTGATAATTATAAAGTTTACACATATTAGACATCTATAAGATCAGATCAATTTAGACTAGACCAAACTAGATCAGACTAGACCGGATAATTTCAATTCAATTAAAAATATTCTCAAAAAATATCTTTGAAGTAATTAAAGAGGAGGCTGATTTTATTGACCTCATCTAAGGTGGGCATCACCCCTACCTTATATGTTTTTTTTTTGCCATGTGACATATCAATTCTTTTTTTAATTGTTACAACTTTATATTTGTGCTCCAATTGTTAACAAAAAAATAAAATAAAGGCTAAAGGGTCAAATAGGCCCCTGTACCTGTTCGGAATGCTCAATTCGCACCCCGAACTCAAAAAAGCTCCAATTCACCCCCTGAACTCGCCAAAAAAGTTCAAATCCCATTTTTTGCAGGTACAATTCCGGTCATCGCCACGTCATCCGGTTAGATGCCAACCGTGCGTGCCGCGTGGAAATCTAAGGGGTCAAATAGACCCCTGAACCCGACAAAGTTGTTCAATTTACCCCCTCAACCGTTGAAAAGTGTCCAAATTGCTATTAAAAATATGAAATTAAAAAATAGAGAAAAAATAAAATAAAATGATATACAATTTCATAATATAAAACATAGATGTCTATTTATAATATAATAAGACAATTTTTATATTTCAGGGTAAATTAAACATATATATATATAAACACAATGAAGGTACTTATTTTTTAAATACATATTATAAAAATGTAGTAGTCCCTTGCTATTTACATATTATAACTTTTATATAGGACAAAATTTTTATGTTGCATATAATTAGTATGAAGTATAGTATGTAGTATATATGATTCTAGAATAAAATAATATGAAGTATATATACATATATGCGCGCGTGTGTGTAATTTTACATATAAATCAAAAAAAATATTAAAAATATGAAATTAGTTTTAATGAATTTCTTTTAGTTTATTTTATATGAATTTACTGTAAATATAAATATATCCTTAATTTTTGAGGTAAATTCACATAAAACAAAACAAAACAAATTCATTAAAAATAGGAAAAATTGATAGTAATAATCCCAACTATTGGTGGTCCGCTCATAATAATCCCAACTATTGATTATTACAGAATAATCCCAACTTTAGGGACCTTCCGCCAATAATGGTCCCTATGAATAAATTCTTGTAGTTTCTTAAGTGGATGAGATAAGATATAACAAGTAATCCCTATAAATAATCTCAACTTTTAATTTTTACGCTTAATTTCTATTTAAAATTCACTTTTTATAGAGGTAATATATGGTCATGGACCATTATTGGCGGATAGTCTATATAGTTGGGATTATACAAAAATAATCAATAGTTGGGATTATTTTCAGCGGACCAGCAATAGTTGGGATTATTATTTTCAATTTTTCCTTAAAAATATTTTGATATTTTAAATCCATTTAAAAAAATCAACCATACATTTTTTATAAATTCATATAAATTTTTTTAATATTTGTTCATATTATAAATAGACTCATATATATTTAAAATATTAAATTTACGCTAAAATATAAATAATTTATTGTCATATTATAAATAGACTCATATATTTTATATTATGAACTTGTATATTATTTATATTTATATTTTTCTATTTTTTATTTTTTATTTTTTAATGGCAATTTGGACACTTTTTAACGGTTGAGGGGGTAAATTGAACAATTTTGTCGGGTTGAGGGGTCTATTTGACCCCTTAGATTTCCACGTGGGATGCACAGTTGGCATCTAACCGGTTGACATGGCAATGACCGGAAACTCACCTGCAAAAAATGGGATTTGAACTTTTTTGGCGAGTTCAGGGGGTGAGTTGGAGTTTTTTTGAGTTCGGGGTGCGAATTGAGCATTCCGAACAGGTCTAGGGGCCTATTTGACCCTTTAGCCTAAAATAAAACAGATTTACTCTGTTCCATAAAATACTTCTCACTTACAGATTTATATTTGTACATCTCACTCAATCACCTTTTTGAGTTGTTTGTGATAGACAATTTGTCTACGAGAATAGACAAATGTATAAGCTCAAATGCTATACATTCATTTGATACATTCATTGTGATAGACATTTTGTCTACATTCATTTTAATGTAATGTTCTCGTGTAAAAGCTCAAATGCTGAATGGGATGGGGTAAACAACTAAACATCACCCTTTTGAGGGTGAACAAATTTAAGAGCCCAATTTGTCCCTCGTGCCAAAGTTTGACACATCGGCAAAATCAACCGAGCATAGTTCTGAATCTTGATTCAGCAATTCATCATCAACTGAATTCCGCCAACGAACCTCCTCTGAAATTCGAACACGAGCAGCAATCTGTACGAGGAACACATAGCAATTGTTGTTTACCTTCAGAGTTGGAAACTAGCAATTTTACTCTCCCCACCTCCAAAGAAGAGGCTCAAATGACTTAGGGTTTACAGTGAATCACCCACAGCTCAACCTAGAAACCAACGTGATAAAGCAGGGACAATGGCATTTTGGAGCCGATTCAAGGAATCTCAGATCAGGGTCTTGTCAAACGGACTAAAAAGATTCCATCTTCAAACACATAATCATGGTCAACTGCAGCATGGTGGTACCTTGACACATGCCATCTGCCTTACGAACAGTCCCAGTCTAACTAACCGCGCGAATCGGGGCGAGATTCTTAACAGCGCCAGGTTCTTTGCTGCACCAGTGCAGGCAGGTTCTTCGTTCGTAGTTAGCTCCAATTTACAGTAGCTTGCACTCATTCAAGGTTCTCATGTTTAAGGGCGTTTTTACGATATGCAGGCTCATCAGAAGGAAGAGAAGGACAAAGATGGATGTAGATTGAATGAGAAGATTACTGCACCTTTCGTTCGTCTAGTCACTGATGAAGGTAGTATCATCTGGCTTCATTTTTATTTTTATATGTATATATAAATATAAATAAAGGAAGCTAAACTGGGAAAAGTGAGCCAGTGTGTATAATCTAAATGTTTAACTGCTGAGTGAAAACAGTTTCAGTTTATGCACAGACTTTCCTTCTGAGTTTAATGTAAGTTCATATGCAGGTCACACTGTAGTATCAAGGTTTGAGGCTCTGGATCGGGCTAAGCATTGTAATTTAGATCTAGTGGAGGTAAGTTCTCATATGAACATCAAAGTGGCTGTGGAAACAAATTATCAGTTGTCTCAGTCTCTCAGCAGTCACTGCTTGTTGCACAAGATTTTATAGAGAAATATAGACAAAGTAATTCATCTTAAAGCCTTATCTAATGCCTATACGCTTTATTGTGAATTTGTGACACTGTAGGTCGATCGAGCAGCTGATCCACCTGTCTGCAAGATTATGGACTATCATAAAGAAACCTATGTTAAACATGTAAAGGATAAAGAAAAAGCTAAGAAGAAGGTATGTAATGTCGTATTTCGGTTTTTTTCTATTAACCACAGTACTACTTGTCTACACTTAGACAAAGGCTTACACATAATCTGCATATTGCAGTGAGGGGTGTTTTATGGTTATTAATTCTTGAGAGAACATTGTTGGCGTAAGCTCTATGATAGATGAAAAGCAAGTGCTTAGGTTTTAGCTTCAGTGTGTGTGTATGCTCTCAGAGGATTTTCCATTGGTTCAGTAGCCAACACAGTTTAATTTGAATTATGTTTTGATTATTGTTGTTGCTCTAATATATTTAGTTTTTATATCTGTTATACATTTCTTGCAGTCTGATTTGACTTTAAAGAAGGGTGGTTGCAAGGAAGTCCGGTTTCACTGTAAAACTGTAAGTTTCTCTTTTACTCTCCCTTCAGAGGTTTGCAGTACTTGATTCTTACTGTCAATGAAGGGTAATAATTTACTCTTTGACGATAATGACTTTTGATTGCCAGAATGCTTTACTTGTAATTTACTATCTGGTTTCCTTGTTTTGCTTCATTTTTCCTGCTTTGTCACTGGAGTTTATATGTTTGCAGTTTTGCACTTAGAGCTTCTACATTCTTGGCCTCTGTCTTAAAGGCTATACCTTAAGAAACTAATGTACACTGAAATGAATGAAACACAGTTGAAAGAAGTGCATTTTTGAGTTCATGATGATTATGATCATCATCTGAATTGGTTTTCTTATACACCTTCATATTGTGTTTGATATAGGAACAAAAGGATCTGAAGACTAAAGCAGATACAATTAAGAGAATGATGGACAAAGGATATCGGGTTAAGGTATTTGATTAATCACCCCATGTGAGCTTTATTAACCTGATAGCCAACTAAACATGTTTTTACTTGGACTGTTTTACGTCCCAGACCAGACCACACTTGGATAATTATAAAATACACACCAAACATTTACTAGACCAGATCAGACCATAAAATTTCAGTCCAAGTGAAAACATCATAAGCCAAAAGAAATCCCCTTGCATGATCGATTTTTCACCCACAGGCTTATAGACCTTTGCCTTATTTTCTTTCCGTTGTCGAGCAGTGTATGGCAGTGGGCAGTGGTTCTGAGAATGAGAAACTGGGAGAGGTGCTGGCACATTTTTCTTCCCTGGTAAGAATATTAGTTTCGCTGAGTATATATTTGGGTATTAGAACGTGGTAGGAATGAGTTTCGGAGGCGGGGGTACCAAAGAGAGTTAGTTGCTTCTGTTTGGTTCTACATAGGGAAACCTAAAAAAATGAAACATGATTGTAATATCTTGTTCATGTTTTATACGTAGTACTATGTATAAAATAAGTCGATAAAATGAAATTTAGCAAGTGCCATTTTTAAGTTTTCACCAGTGTTTTATTTCACCCCGACATTTTATTTCCTTCAAAATTCCCCTTATGCTCTTTCTCCAAAGTTGAATTTGTGTGCTTTTCCACAGATAGAAGATGTTGGGTTAATAGAGAGCGGTCCCCATGTGGAAAAGAAGCAGGCATATATTGTCGTCAGGCATGCCAAGTTTGGGCCATTAAAGAAGGGTTCACAAAAGAAGACAGCTGCCTCTAAGGTTGGCCTTGCACTTTCAGCTATTGATGACGATCAAGAATGTGGAGTGGAGGATACTGAAGCTGTTGGGGATGAAGATGGCAGCATTACAGAAGATTTGACTGATGAAGATGTGGAAGATACGTTTGACAGGAGGGCTTTCGATGAGGGTAGAACCGCCATTAACCAGCCAGTGGAGAGAGAAAACAATAGGTACAGACGAGAATCACCACCACCACCCCTACCAGTGACTGCATCTTCATCACCTGCGGCGGAGAGAGAAAATAGGTACAAACGAGAATCACCACCACCACCACCACCAGTGACTGCATCTTTATCGCCTGCAGCGGAGAGAGAAAATAGGTACAGACGAGAACCGCCACCACCACCAGTGACTACATCTTCATCACCTGCAGTAGAAAATAGGTACAGACGAGAACCGCCACCACCACCAGTGACTGCATCTTCATCGCCTGCAGTAGAAAATAGGTACAGACGAGAACCTCCACCTCCACCGCCACCACCAGTGACTGCATCTTCATCACCTGCAGTAGAAAATAGGTACCAAAGGGAGACCACACCACCACCAGTGACTGCATCTTCATCACCTGCAGTTGAAAATAGGTACAGAAGGGAGACCACTCCGCCGCCACCACCGTCATGGCGAGCAGCACCTTCTGTTGTGGGAGAAAATAGGACTAATTATAACAGAAGAGAACCACCACCACTGCCACCCCCAGCCCCACAATTTAAAATGAATCCTTCCCTGCATCCACCTCCAAGAAGCTCATCAGATTCCAATTTCTTGAATACTAATAATAGGTCTTCTCCATCAGGTGGTACTCATAGTAGATCTCCACCCTCAGATTATAGTACCTTCAATATCCCAAAAGCTGAAAATGCTCCTGCAGAAGGGAATGTAGCAGGAGTTTATAATAGATACAAGAAAGAAAATAGGGGTAGTTCTGCAAGATATTCAACGGACCCTTAAAAGGCAGGGAAAGTGATTACACTTATTTGTTAACTGTGGAAACTCAACAATGGATTGCTGAGGTCTCTTCCATTTGAGAAGATCAGAAAATGCGGTTTAGAAATTTGTTAATAATTGATTCTCTTATCATGTCCTAAAATAATTGTGCCGCTTATACTACATTGATTTACGATTTGTTTTGATGTACTTGCTTCTTCATTTTATTTGCGTTTCACAATTTTATCTCTTCTTGAAGTCTCGCTTCTGCATAATGAGATGCTGGAATGCTGGATATCTGCTTATGGATGCACTCGGTTCGGGCCGGGCCTAGGCCCGGTCGGGCCTCCGGTCCTGGATTGGAGGGCCCGGAACCGGCCCGTGTAGCCGCCGGGTCCGGGCCGGGCCGGCCGGGCCTCGTTTTTTTGCCTTTTCCTAATTAACCCCCAACCCCCCACCCAAACCACCTCAAATAGCCCAAAATACCCAACCCAATCCAAAAACTTAAAAAAAATTCAAAAAAAAAAAAAAATTAAAATGGCCCGGACCGGGGTTGAACCGGCCGGGCTGGTTCACGTTTTGAGGGGCCCGAGCCTGGACCGAAACCACCCCGGGTCGGGCCTACCCGGACCGGTCCATGACCGGGCCACCGAGGCCCGGTTGGAACAGTGGCGGGCCGGGCCGGGCCGGTTCCGGGTCGGGCCACCCGGCCCGAGTCCATCCATATATCTGCTTTGTCACAGTTAAAAAATAATCCCTAAGAAATCATTTTGAGTAGCGAAGTTTAATTTCATTACATGCGTGGTCCAATTGTACTGTACATAGTGATTAGGACTGGGTCCGAAAAACCGAAAACTGAAAACCGAATCGAATTAGACCGAACCACAACCAAATAAAACCGAACCGCTAAAAAACCGAAACCGAATGTAAAAAACCGAACCGAACCGAAGTTGTTTGGTTCAGTTTTGGTTTTTACCCTTCAAAACCGAACCGAACCGAACAAACCGAACTATTTAAAATATGAAATTTATATGTTAATTGTTAAGCATTAATTCTAATTAATCTTAATATCATCAATAGTCTTTGGTTTTCTTGTGTTAGAGAAATAATGTTTGTGTTATGTTTAATTTAATTTAGTTTATAAATTCATTCACATTCATTGTCTGTAATAATGTAGAATGATGATAATATGTGCTTACTAGTTATTGGTAGTAATTAACTTTTATTTTTAGATAACTTAAAGATTTTATATTGATAAAACAATAAATATTCATCTCAACTATATCACATATAACGTATATATTCATGAACTTTTTTCGAACTAATCACAAACAAATTAAATCAATAATATATACTCCGTATAGTTTTATTTATCTCGCGTATTCATATAATTCAAGACATATTTATCTCTTCTCATTTTTATTTTATTTGTCGTTGTATTGTGCTTGCATTTTTTATGTTATATGTTTGGTCCCTCTAAGTATTATATCAATTTTAAATCAAGGGATTTTTTTTGGTAAAAAACCGAAAAACTGAAATCGAACCGAAACAAACCGAACCAATCAAACCGTGGTTCCAAGTTTTGGAGTGTAAACCGAACCGAAACCGAACTTTTTACTGTGATTCTACATTTGGTTGTAAGTCAAAACCGAACCGCAAGAATCGAACCCACCCCTAATAGTGATGGACCTGGGCCGGGTCTGGGTGGTACTGGTACTAGAAAATTGGAGCTCGGTACCAGCCCGATATGCTTTGGGACCGGACCGGGCCCAAACAGTATCAGGTCCGGATTGGTACCACCCATTTATTTATTTATTTATTTATTTATTTTTAAAAATTGCAGTTGGGCCCGGACCGGCCACAAAAAATCGAGCCCTATGCCTGCCCCTTATAACCATTGGTCCAGGTATTGGGCCGGTACTGGGCCCCGGAAAACCGGACCGAGCCTAAATAGTACTAGTGTTTCAAATTTAAAGATGCTTGCGGATCCTCGAATCCCAAGTAATTGCACCTGTAGTGGGGCGTGTGGGGTGTAAAAAGATTTGAGATGTTTTTGATTGGATTTGTTTCAGTCCCACATTACTCTCATACCGGATTAAAATAGATTAAGCTTAGACCATAACAAAATAGAGCAATCATCTAATACAACCGGACGGACCGAAAGTGCTGTACGACCAAAGCCCATTTGAGTTGCTCTCGGTTAGAATATTTTAATGAAATTTTATGAGCATGTTTATCATTAACTGTAGATTCCCTCCCCAAAGTTTCAACTTAAAATTCAACTGGGAAGTCGATTAAATAAATTATTGAAAAACACTGCACAAAAATATGCATACAACACAATGTTTTCAATAATTTATTTAAACTGATTTTCCAATTGAATCTTAAACTGAATTTTTGTGGACACAATCTACATTTCATGATGAATATGCTCACAAAATTCCATATAAAATTCTACTCGGAAGCATCTCAAATGAGCTTGGCCGTACAACACTTATGGTCACTCCGGTCATATGAGAATATTCTTCTAGAAAAACATGCGTACATCAGTTACCAGATTAAATCAAATTAAATTTAAATAAGTCAGAATGGAATAGATTTAAACAGACACAATTAGCAATGTCTCAAGTCTCACAACTTATGTGCAATGAGTGGGTCTCGGCCCTCGGGTTTGGCCAGCAACCAATAGGTGGCGATGGTGGTCAACATCGGCAAAAGACAACAAAGATGTCAGCCGGAGATGGTGGACACCATAGGTGATGTTGGCGGTGAAGATAACAACCACTCCAAGTGGTAGTAAGTGAAGGTTGTCATAAATGACAATGGTTGGCTATGAGCCTATGAAGGTGGCAGTACTAAATAAAAAATGGGAAATTATCATTCACCTCCCCTGAGGTTTAACGTTTTATCACTTACACCCCTATAGTTTTAAAAATATGCAACAACCTCCCTGTATTATTTGAGAATGTTAACTTTAACGGAAGAGTGTTAACCTCAAACACCAAAGCTAGCATGCTAAATGAAAAACCATCCAAAAGTTAGCATGATAAATTAAAAGGCACCCATCACACATCTTTTGAGTATAACATACCATATTCCGTACTACATATACTTGAACAGTAGGCGGAATATACAAAAGTTAATTAGAGCATATACTTGAGGCTTCAGCCATTTACAACTCTCCACATCAGCATATTCAACTGTCCCTTGATAGTATAAATAGTAGCATTTACTTCATTGTAAAGGGTTGACAACTTACCCGTCTTAGCTTACTAGTATTCATTTAGCTCTTAGCTTATTACTCGCAGCTCTTCTACTTGAGTGTGAGACGAACGACCGCAAGCCTTAGCATAGTGCAGTGTAACGAGGAGTTATTAGACTTACTAATACTCGGCCCACTATTGCATATATTTCTAAGCCCATCTTATTTGCTTGCATCACATAGTCACATACACCATCCATTCGAAATCTTTGGGCTTACGTGGTGGGCCCAATGGTTGAAGGAATAAACCTCAACAATAGTATTAATCAATATCCTTGACTTAAACCCCAACCACTCATATACATATCCTGGTTCAAATCAACTTAACATGAGGACACCACTCGGTCCTGAATTACTAAATAGTAATCTATGAGTTTTGAGGATACACACCCGATCCTTGGATACTCCACCCTATATAACCGAGTTTTGAGGATACACGCTTGATCCTTGGGTAATCTACCCTAAAATGAATAGAGAACTCTTAAGCACATTAAAAAATCCCAGCATGCACAAACTACAGTCAAGAACATACTTTATTGAGAATAATACTACCTCCGTCAATTAAAACTTTGCCAAGTTTGACCGGCACGAGGATTAATAAAGTAAAAACTGTGTGATTGAGTTTTGTGCAGAGGAGAGCGAAATTAACTGGAATCACAAATTCTTTACTTAAAACGAAAAGTGGCAAAGTTAGTGAGACATCGAAAAAAGGAAAGTTGACAAAATTTTAAGGGACAGAGAGAGTGACATAAACACATTATTACATTTTTGTATTTCATAAAATTTGATAGGACATAAAAATTAGAAGTTAATTACTCCGTAATATGTACTCCGTAGTACTTACTAGCAAAAATCATACTCCGTATTAGTTATTCACCAATATACTACCTGGTCTATAAACTTAGGCAATTCAAGACATTAGTTCATCTGTTTTATGTCACTCTTGTTTTGACTAACCTAGTTATCTTTCACGAACTAACTCAAAAATCCAGAATATGATGCCAAAAATGACTACTAATTCCTCATCATCAGAAATAACAAAAGGAATCATTCTCAATCAAAAAACTGAAAAAGAGAAGACAAATTTTGCAATTAAAAAGTCTCAATCCTAAAAAAGACATTTGTCCTTTAACAAATGCAAAGTGCCGTTGCTCATTATCTCTAACCTAGAGGTATTAGAGACATTAGAGAAAATTAAGAGCCCCAAAAGCATGAGTGCTGAAAAATAAAACCATGATTACATATTTGGCCTCTCAAATTCTAAAATACGAAATAGAATTCATTAGCCAAAAGGGGATAACATAATTTAGCAAAAGGAGAAAACATAATTATGAGATTCTAACAAACTGAGTTCTTTCAACAAAACAAAAAAACAAACTGAGATAATGAATCACACTAATCAACTAAAAGTCATGCCTGAAAGAGATTTGTAGTAGTTCTAGCTACTCCGTATTTGCTACATCTGCTAGCTTAGTATGCGTAATATCAATAAGCACTTCCATGGTGAGCATGGGTAAGTGAGGGTCTGTGGAAGTTTTTTTTTTGTTTTACGGTACAATGGTTTCTGAAAGTTGGGTATCCAATTATGAATTATGTATGCACGTTAAATTACTAACCCTTGCTGTTAAAGTTGACACTGTCAATGATAGAGGGAGGTTTTTGCATATTTTTAATACTATAGGGGTGTAATTGATAAATCGTTAAACCTCAGGGGAGGTGAGTGATAATTTCCCATAAAAAATTGATAGATCAAAACTGATTGGCAAATCAATCAGAACTGGATCAAGAAATCCAAAACAAGCTATTATATGCATTTTTCTTTGCAATTTATGATTATTCTTACAAACTGATTGAACCCAAAAAACTAAGGAATACATGCTCAAGCCGATCAAAATGGATGAGAAACCAATTGAAAACAACTAAATCAAACTGATATAAGTTATTTGGTTCAATTATGGTTCCACTTTTTCAATACTAAACATAAATTGACAAAATGAGACCTACAATACACCAAGTGGTGGTGATCGGCGATGGTGCCAACCATTGATATGGCAGAAGACGGTGCCGGGAGACCGCAGTTATGGTGGATGGCAGTGGTAGAGGTCACAGAGCGGCAACTTTAGGGTGGCAGCACTAGTAACGGCGCCAACCACACGGTGGTGGCAGTTGGACGGTGGTGCCGATGATGGTAGCGGGAGCAAGAAAATTGAATTTGCACATAAGTTTTTAAAAATGTGCTCCAAATAGAACTAAAATCTAGACAAAATACACAAATAGGAGTGCTTATGTTTATTTTTCAAATAAGACTAGCTTCATCCTATTAAAAATATAAAACTTTCTCAATTAGAAGTGTATTTTAGGAAGAAAGTAATGCGCTTCTATATGTGCACTTTATCTATATTTTGATCCCATTTAAGGAATTTTCTTTGATTTTTACTCCAATTGCTTCTACACCCATTATAAATCTTTTGAGCTTGCACCCCTTAACCCCACAATTGAGTTACTTTTGTTGGACTTTGCACCTTATGCTTAAATTAAACATTTGAGTCTGCAGCCATTTTTAGGCCTTTAGGCCTTTAGGGTGCGAATTCAAAAGATTGTAGAGAATAATTTAGCAAAGTACACTTGCAAAGTAAACATAAGACACTTACAATTAAATTAGATTTTGAAGCAGTAAAGGAACAACAGCACTTTCGGATTACAACATATAATTTTCCTGGTCAAAATATACCAGAACAGGAATGCTAAAGAACCCCGTAATAAGATATTCAAGGCTAGAAAGTGATCTATTTAACACAATCATGAGCTAGATATGGAGTCAATAACCTTCAAAATAAGTTATTTACGTGGACTGGTGGCAAAAGCATTCTCTTGCTTTCCTGCTATTTACTAAAACATGAAGTATTTGTATTTTATTATTAACTCGGTATATATTATAATAGTATCACTGCCATTGTTCACAGAACTTGGGAGCCTCCAAGAGACAGATTGGATAACTTGCACCAGAAGAAAGTAATCAATCTCTTTTATCTTTCCATCTCAATGGCCTTTTTAATTAACACCAATAATCTCTTATTAATAAGGATGCTTGCCTGGCCAGTTGTCTCTGTAGTCCAGTTTGCCCCACAACTGAAACAGACTGATGGGCTTCATTGCCCTTTTCTGTGTATTTTACATTGCAATGTTTTTGGTTATGATATTGCATCCTACTTCAAAGAAGACGACAGCTGAAGAGAATGAGATCATAGAGGTGAAGCAACCAGCTCCTCCACATTCTGTGTCATCCTCCACCGATCCCTCCGTTTTTGAGCGTGAGTTCATCACTCCCAGAAATCCAATAGGATATCAGTCTATCCAGAATTATCCTTAAACAGGACACATTTACTTCAAAAACTATTTGTACTGCTAACTAATACCCTTAGTGATATATAAATTCTGCGTATTAGCCCCCCCCATAGCGGAGAATTTGATAAACAATCGGAAAACAGCACGAAGACTATGATTTCTGGATTAATCTAACAAGAAAATTTTGACAAATTAATAGATTTGAAGGAGATTGGTTCGCTGGTTGAGGCTGGAGGATATGAAGGAGAAGTTAGGAAGATTGCAAGGGCATTAAGGTTAACGATGGGATTAAGGAAGAAGCTTAATGCTTCTGTGGTGTCTTCCTTCCTGAATTATGCCCTAACAACACCTGCTGGATCAGAACTTCACACTCAGCTAGCTGCTTACCTGATGCCTCTTATTTTGTTGAATGTATACACTCTTAACACTTACGTAGTACTTTTTAAGTAATTAATGTTCTATAATTTGCCTTAATAACAACATTAATGCCTTACAATGCCCGATAAATTGATAGGAAGATGAGGCTGATATGGAAGTCGACACTACAAAGCAGCCTGTGCCCGACCTTGAGATTTATTGCTACTTACTTGTTCTTATACATCTGATTGATCAGAGGAAGTACGATGAGGTTTGTTGAATTCTTCAAATCGTTCATTTAAAAAAATCATATAAATTACTATCCTAAAGTTGTTTTCCTTGGCAGGCAAAGGCTTGTTCGTTAGCAAGCATTGCTCGCCTTAAGACCTTAAACTTGAAGACTGTTGATGTTATTGCTTCTAAGATCTACTACTACTATTCTTTGACCTATGAACGTACTGGTCATCTTTCTGATATTCGAGGGTACGTACATTCAGGTCCATATTTCCTAGATGTAAACTTAATACTGAAAATATATTCAATTATATTCAATTACATTGTGAGTGGGAAATGTACATTTTCTTTTTTCCCATCTTTCAATCACCTGGGTTCTGCTACGCTTTTCTTATCCTTTTTTTTACAGTAACCTCCTTACCTTGCACCGAATTGCAACACATAGACGCGATGAGCTCGGTCAGGTTTGTGTTGTATATAATCCAACTCTTGATTCTATTATTGAAAATTTTCTATTTTTGTACTTGATGTGATGACTGGTGTAGGAAATGCTTCTTAACCTGTTACTTCGGAATTACCTTCACTACAACCTGTATGATCAAGCGGAGAAATTTAGATCAAAGGCACCCTGTTTCGAAGCTAAATCAAACCATCAGGCAACTCGCTAACTACACTTTTTTCTCACTATGACAAGATTTTGTTTGTCTATAAATGGACTCAGCTTTGTGTTACTTTTCTTTGTTTTCCAGTTTTGTAGGCACCTTTTCTATCTTGGAAAGATAAGGACTATTCAGTTGGAATATACAGACGCTAAAGAGTATCTCTATCAAGCTGCCCAAAAGGCACCAGTTTCTGCACTTGGGTTCTTAGTCCAATGCAATAAGTGGGGCATAATGGTTCACCTATTGCTTGGTGAAATCCCTAAAAGGACCGTTTTTATGCAAAAGGGGATGGACAAAGCACTAAGGGCGTATTTTGAGTTAACAAATGTATGTACCAAAAATCAAATTTGCAAATGTCAAACGATTCATTTATACATGTTGGGTATAACAAGGCGTGGACCCGGTCTTGGATCTAGAACCAGACCTGAGCTGGTCAGTAATTCATCTGAAAACGGGGGAACCAGTCCAAGTCCGGCCCTGCTCCCATAACTGCAAAATAGGACTAGACAGAACAGTTCCAATGATATTTTAAATAGACAACCCAAACCGGTATACTCGGTTAAGGTTTCAGTTCCCCCATTTCAGGGACCCGAAAACCAGCAAGACTGGATTCAAAACCGGAAGAGTCCACCACCAGGTACAACTTATAACTAATAAAATGTATTTTTTTTATTTCAGGCTGTTCGCATTGGGGATTTTGAGTTATTTAAAACTGTCAGTGTGAAGTTCTCAAGCACTTTCAGTGAGGATGGGACAAAAAACTTGATTGCTAGGCTCCGGCATAATGTCATCAGGACCGGGTTACGAAATATTAGTATCTCATACTCTCGAATCTCATTGGTCGATGTGGCAAAAAAACTATGCTTGGATTTTGAAAATCCCATTGTTGATGTTGGAAGTATAATAGCGAAAGCTGTTAGGGATGGCACAATTGATGCCACATTGGATCATGCTAATGGAATCATGATATGTAAAGGGAAAGGAGACGTATATTCTACAAATGAACCTCATATTGCTTTTAATTCTAGAATCAGTTTCTGCCTTAACATGTACAATGAAGCAGTCTGCGCTCTTCGTTTCCCGCCTAATCCCACCCACAATGAGATAAAGAGAAATCAAGAAGGGTATTCAAGTGTTGCACCACCTTGTTAGGCTAAAGGATATTCCCGTTTTCATGGATTGGTATAGATACACAACTCCATTTTTGAAACTTCATAATTTGTTGTATACTTCGAAAATACATTTATTACTCTCTTTTTTCAATGTCGTACTTCTATACTCAATTACTATGATGCAGTTTCTTACTTTAATATAGTTATGTTTGTTCTCTCAAAAGCTATTAAATAAAAATTAAACAAGTAAATTACATACGGAACTATCAGATTCAAACTTTTTTATCTATATATTTTATATTTTAACAAATGGATGGTAGTATTTTTTGGCTCATTCATTCCCAGTTTTTGTTTCTTGTTTTTATAAACTAAAAGCAGGAAAATAAGATTTAGATACTTTGTTGGTAGTTTTCAAAACTTACATGATTAGTGTGACTACATTTCGGTTCAAGACGCAATCTTTACATGTAACATGCCAGTAAAAAAACAATGACTAGCAATCATACCAAACGCGGCCTTAGCAGCCTATTGTAGACTTGTATTATCACAATATCACTCAGGGATTCTTTCCTCCATATTAATACTAAACTACATTCGAAGGAATGACCAATGACGTCATTGCGGGATCAAATGCAAACTTCAACTAGAATGCAACATAAATTTTCAGATTTCAGACTGGTGTATTTACATACGGAACTTAAACCAACTCTCGCCCTGTACTAGTGTACTATTTTAAATTACGGTAGAGGAACTCCTGAAAAATCTAACCCTACCAAACAAGTCCTGCATGAAGGTGATGAAACCACCACCAAACTATCTGAAATGTATGTCAACTTCCATTGAAATGAAGTATGTGAAAAATCAAACCCTACCAAACAAGTCCTGCATGAAGGTGACAAAACCACCACCAAATCTATCTGAAATGTATGTCAACTTCCATTGAAATGAAGTATGAATAAAGAGTGGGCAGGGGAGGGGTAGCATACAAGATAAAGTTTCGCGTTAAATATAATAGAAGCGGGCACGAGATTCAATGTAATTTGATCAATGCAAAGCTCTTTGGACCATCCACACAAAATAAAATGGAAATAACAATGTGCAGTGATCACAAATGACCCTTTTACTGTTGATCAATCAAGCAGAGGTCAAACCAAATGACTTGACAATAGTACTGACACTCTCAGCAAAGGTTCTGGATGTTATTTTCTTACCGGGAACGTGAAATGGGTTTGAAACCGCATCCACATATGCGGCATGGAATCTCCTGAAAAACTGCAGGTGATTTCACCCATAAAATAGAGTAAGCAAACACATGGCATGTTCTAAACAACCAACAAGAAGAAATGATGTTAGAACCAGGAAGAGATATAGCAAGCAACTCTCTCAAGAACGTAATGAATGGATCTACAGTCCAAGATGCACTATAGAACCACCTTTTGTATACGTTCTCTTCATTGCACAAAGAGGACCGTAGTTGTCAATGGCGCTCACCATAATGCACCAAATGGCGACATGAAGAGCCCTTGCCACAAAAGTGTCATGGCGGTGAGTGCACATGTGAGGGTGCTATATGGGCGCCATCGCAATAGCCGTTTCATGTGCGCCACTTGTTAGGAGCAGATACATGTTCATTTAATTAATTTTGGGCTTTGGCCCTGATTATTAAGTAACCAGCCAGCCCACTCATAATGAATAAAACCCCCCAGTAACCCAAGTAAATAGAGACCAGCTAATGTAAATCCAGTGCGAGAGAAGCTGCACAAGTATAACACTATAACTCCATTAAAGAGGATAAATTTCAAAACAAATTTTAGTTGTGACTTCTGAGTAAACTTCAAAAAAAGTTAAAATGAACTTTAAAACAAACTTCAAAACCCTCTCTATCTACTTGCCCTTCAAGTATACTAACTACCTGCTAAATAACACATTAATCATAGAATGTGGTTGTTTTCCAATATTATGTTATTTTTGGAACTACTTTAATTATTTCAACTTCACATATTTTGGTTAAAATGTGGTTATTAAACTCTTTTGCTTATTTTTTGGTTGTTGAACTATAGATCCAGTGTCTATAAATCATATTTTTAGAATTTATTTTATGTGTCATGTAGTGACGCCATAAGTGTGCCGTCGTGATTGCCAGGGACAAATGCCTTGGCGCCATGGCAACTATGAAAAGGATCCTAGAGACTGATTCTTTGACAAAAAAATTACTTTTTTCTTCTTGACCAGTCAGAAAGAAGGTAGGCAACATTAAAGTCTGCTACAAACAAGTGGTACTAGACCTTTTTTATTTAAAACATAGGTCAGTTAGTAAAAAGGTATGCAATGCATGAGTGTAAAGGTAATGTTTCAATTGACACAGTAAACTAGTATAAACAACAGAGGCCCGGACAAGTAAGACTTACATTTCTCACATCTGCATCTCGGACATCGAGATCTGTTGTCACTAATATGAACTTCACCTTTGTGTTGGTCAAATAACCATACCTGAATCAATCATGGCATGAGCCAACTGATTATTTGATTAAATCATGACACACGGTGCATTAAAGAGTAGCCTATACCCATTGTGTGGTCATTGTTATTGTTGGTGTTGCTAATCAATAGTGTTCCTTCCCAATTATTTGGCAGATAGAAAAAGAAATAATAAACGGAGAATCAACTGACTTCTCTGCAACCCTAACAAAATCACACGTAGCAAGGAAAACATGAACACTCACACTTTGTAATTCTCTGTTGGGTATAGCAGACCGAGAAATGTCTCATTCAATGCAGGGCTAGTTTTTTTGGGATTATTCACTGCATTGGAAAAGCATACATCATTTAATTAGTGATAAAAATATTATGGGAGTATGAAGCATTACCAGCACTCTAGTTTTGAGCATAAATGCATATTGTATCTTAACTAATACACCCTTTATTCCTGTTTATCCCTCTAGGTGGACCAAATCACATGTTTTAAGAACATGCATCAAGATGATAAAATAATCATACTTTTAATGTTTTACCAAAAAAAACTTATTTAAAGCAACCCTACCAATAATATGCTTCAAGGAAAAGGGTAAATTGAATTGTGTAATTAAATTGGAGAAAAGTGATGTAATAAGCATAGATTTCATAAATGGACAGATAAGAATAATTCAAATCGGTCAATCTAGATAGACAAATAGGAACACTGGGAGTAATAAGTTGAAACTATTCCTCAATGAGGAGAGGTCCTAATCTTTATCTTTCCAATGATAGCAGCAAGGCAGCTAATATTTTGTATCCTCACCACTTGGCATACAGCATAAGCTTCTAATCCGAATAACAGATCATTCTGTTTGCATTTCTCTTTAGTCTTTAAAGTTGTGTAGTTGGAATTAATCAGATTCTGTGTAGGCAAGGCAGTGATGCACTGTGATTTAATTTCCAGTTTCATAAATTCACGCACATACACTATGTTGCACGGAAACACGAAAATCATGTGGAAACGGGAAACATCAATCTTTGCTCAAAAAAGGCTTGTTTGGGGAGTTTCCAAAGAGTTTCCGTAGAGTTTCCGAAATGGAAACGTTCTCTTTCCCGAGAGTTTCCGTTTATACTAGTTTACTGTGTCAATTGAAACATTACCTAACCGAATCTACAATTAACTCCATCAAGTTGGTATGGTATACAGCTATGGAACAGCATAGTAAAGTAATTGGTGCAGGTTTGCGGATAATGGAATTAAAGTCTGAACAGGTAACCTCTTTCATCAACAACGTCAAGAGAGCAGTGGACTATGTGATGAAGCTTTAGGGCGTCATCAGCTTCCGTGAAGCTCTGTATATACAGTGGATTGTTCTGTCCAATGAGGAAAAACAATAATCAACAAATTTTTTGCAATGGTTCTGATCAGTTAAATACACCATACGAAAGAGGAAACAACCATATCTAAGACGGCATACTACCTGGTGCCCGACGACGGCAACACAGACAATCATCTTTGATTATCCGATCACTTATGCTGAGAGGAGCATCAAAATGCAAATCACAGCAGAAAAACATAAAACACAAGTAGTGATGTGGACATTTCCGCGAAGACAGAGCATACCTGAGCAGGATGAATGAAGGTGATATCTGATTCGAGATCCAATTGGGCTTTTTTTCGCTCCAACTCTCCAAGAGATCCAATTACTGCACTTTAGGCTTTAGCTATCATATCTAGTCATGGACCCGGTCCGGTCCGGCCGGCCAGGGAACCGGCCCGGCCTGGCCCGGCCCGGCCCTTGAAACCGGTTCCGGTTTTGGTACACCAAAATGGCGAACCGGCCTGGCCTGTTTGGGCCTGTTTTTTTAGGTTTGGGCTGGGTTTAGGTGGGCTGGGTAATTCCAGGGGGTAGGGGTTGAAATAAATAAGAATACAACAAAAGAAAAAAACGGAACCGGCCTGGTCCAGAACCGGCAGCCTCCCGGCCCGGTCCCCGGCCTTACCCATAACCTCCAGGCCCGAACTGGAACCGGACCGGGCCCGGTCAACCACCAATCATATCCTTCTTGAAATAATAAATGATCTACTTTAATCTGTTTAAATGCAGTCTGATCTAAAATAATCTTATCTAGTAAATGTTTGATCTTTATACTTCCCCCCTCCCGCAAAGAAGATCACGGTTTGACCTACACACATATTAAGGAAATAAACTTACCGAGGGTAAATTTTACTGTTTTGACATTGTTTCAACACTGTTTGACACTGTTTGACACTATTTTACAGTGTTTTGCACTGTCTTGATGTAGAAAACTTGTCATTTGAAGAAAAGGGAGCTTCTTTTTTAGACTGCTAAAAAAGGAAAGTGGGAACATCTTTGCGGGATGGAGGGAGTATATTTTGTAGTTTTCGAATTCTGAGATCTAGTCTGTTTATATTTGACCGGATCTAATTAAGTTTGATTTGTTTTGATCTGAGACTGAAC